AGGGTTTTTATTTTCTCCATGTTATGTTGGACTGAAGAAGGTAAGCCCATAGACCTCCCAAGCCCTAATTTCTTTTTGTAATCCGGTCATCTTTGTTGTTTGCTTACCAAAGTTTAGTCGCATTTGCTATTTTTATTTTGTAACCCGTGACTGGAATTGAGTAGGGTTAAAGAAAACAAAAATTGGTGTAATTTAGTGGTTCATCCAGTTAATACTTGTAATTTATTGGTTTTTATTTTTTATTAAAATAATATTATTTTAATTTTAAAAAAATTAATATGATAATTTGGTTAAAACTCGAAATCTAAATCTTGAATTGACTAGATCTAAAAACTATATTTTTATTTTTTGTTTTTTTTATTGATTTTATGCAATGGAAAAATATTGTTTATATCAAATCATTTTTATACCAGTTTCATAAGTTCCCAATTATATTCTATATACAAAAAATGTTTCTATTTAAAAAAAAAATCAAGAGTAAGAATTCCTTAAAATTTTTATCTAAAACAGTGACAAATATATATAATTTATAATAAAAAAACCTATTTTTACTTAATCTTTAAAAACTCTGAAATAGACTTCTAAATGCTCAACTTTTAATTGGAATCAATTAAATTTTAAACTGATTAAATTTAATTGAGCTATAGATAAATGCTAATAAGACAATTAATCTAGAGCAAAGAATATAAAGCTATATATTTACCTTAAAGTTACCTATAATCTTGTTTGAAACAATGGTGGAAGCTAGACGACGACAAACACCTCTACACTTTCCTTTCAATGCATTGTTTACAGCCAAAATAAAATCTTCAAAATAATTGTGAGTAGTTGGGCTAAATTGCAAGAATTTAATCAATAAAAACTAAGATGGATGTTTGCATCCGTTGCCCAAAGAGATGCGAATGCGGAGGCAATCAATCTTTTGACGTTGGTGAAAGACCAAACCCCCTAAAAATAAGAGAAGACTTCTACATAATATTTAGTAGGTAATCTAATGATAAAAATTAAAAATTAAAAATTTTATTTATTTTATAATTTTAAATTTAAATCATGTTATTGTTAATATAATAATTATAAAAAATTTATATAATCATTAACTTCAAAATCTATAGAGTTAAAAGATTTTACAAATTATAAAATTAAGATAAGATTTTTACAAACTATCTAATAAGCAGTTTAATTATAAAAATTTAAGATTAAAAGATTTGCTTTTCTTGTAATCTAAGATTCGAATCTTCTAGTTATTAATATAAATGCTACCGAAAATTTACATAGTCAATAACTCTAAGATCCATAAAATTAGTTAAAGTATATGCAACCTAACCTAAATAATTATGTTAATAAAAAAAAAAGAGTTTTACAATTTGAAAAATATTTTGGCAACTACATGATATCAATAGCAAATTTGCAATCAGCACTAAGAATTTTTATTTCTAAATTTTATTTTATTGTTTAGAAAAAAAATATTGTAATAGTAAAATTTTTAATTTTATTTATTATTTTTTCTGTTGTGCTTTGCAATTTGTTTTTGATTTATATATAATCTTATACTTTATTTTAATGCAAGTTACTTTGGTAAGTTTACTGTTTTCTTTACCTTTTTTTCCTAGTGTAATATCTCATTTTCTTTGATTTTTCTTTTTAATTTATAAAGTAATTGATTTTTTTTCAAATCTTAACCTTTGAATGATCTTTTTAGATTCAATTTATTGTTTCTTATTTATGTTTATATACAGAGACCTGTCTAATCTATTCAAAATCAATCCTTAAATTTCATATATTAACATTAACATTAACATTAACATAAACAAAAAATAAAATAAAAGCATATGCGAATTCATTATTCAATACTATAGATGCTCACATTTCGCGCTTCCACTGAACTGTTCATGAACAGCAGGTAGTCGTTATTCTTGTTTCTTCGTGTAGTTTTGAGTAAGGTCTCCTTTCAATTGGGAAGGATGACAATGGGGTAATTTTGTTCTGCTTCCTTTCTGAATTAGCTACACTAAAGTACATTAAATTATGCTTGGGATTGTTACAGCAGTTTAAATTATTTCTATTGAAAAAAATATTAAAAAAATATTTTTAAAATTAACATATCAAAATGATTTTAAAATATATAAAAAATAATTTTTTTAAAAAATATATAATTTAAACAACATTCTAAAAAATACTATTAAAGACGTAATGAAGATTGAAGGCTTGGAGAAAGTAAAGAGCCGTTTACAGGTAATAGAGGTTAACTTTCAACAATTTCCACTTTGAATGTTCTGGTGTTCTTGTGAGAATTTCAATTTTCAAGAGCTCAAAATCATGAGACTTCTGTGAAATTGCTCCTCGTGTCCACTTACTCTGCCCTCTCCAATTCAAATTTCCTTCGTATCATTAAAAGACTACTTGCAGTAGAGAATTGGGACTGGCATATGAGCCATTAATATTGATATATCCCTCAGGAAACCACTTGCAACTTTGCATTGCACACAGATTTCTCCACGTTTTGGCACCTATCATGTCATAGAAGCTTTTGCATGATCTTTATTCTCTTTTATTTATTGCGCATCTCAAATAATAATATAAATTATATCTTGAAATTTTTAATAACAATTTAAATTATTAAATTAAAATGGTTATTTTACATAATATCAAAATCTTAATGATCAATTAATCACGAGTTTAAATTTTACTGGTCAATCATCAACACCATCAAAATAATCCTGACTTAACTATCATAAACAAAATAAATTTATAATATGATCATGAAAATCATGTTGAACCCAAGAGAAATTCCATTTAATCTTCCTATAATATACTGAAATAAGAAAGAATAGGGGATTTGAATGAAACATTCAAGAAATAATAATTCTGAAAATAATAAATTGATATATCGTTAAATAAGTTCAAGGATCCACACCTCCATTCTTATAACTCTGTTGATTATCGAAGTAAAATAAATATTCTTTTGTGTTAAGTAAATAAATTTGATATCGCTTAAAGCTGAGGAAAATCGATGAGATTGTGAGTACATTAATTAGAAAAAATTCTCTAATCAATTTCTTACCATCAAGCGAATGTAATATTGAAAGCAATTTTTATTTACTCGGTAATAGTCTTAGAAATAAAATCTGTGCATTTATTCGAAGGGAATGTTCAAAAGCTTAACAATTTTAAGTTAGTTTATTCTTTCTTAATAAATTAAGATGAGAGTTACAACAATCAAATTAATTGTTTTGCTTTTTATTCTAGTCCCTAACAATAATTATAGATTGAAAGAAACTAGAAAACTTATATGTCATCTCAAAATAATTCAATAAGTTTGAATAATAATCAACAACATAATTCTGAATAAGAAAAAGATAAATACTTGAATCTGAAAGAATTAAAATAACAAAGTTACTTCTCATAACATGTTAATGGAGATAGTGTGTATCTCTTTTGAATTGAATTCAAGAGTTTAATTCATAGTTGCTGGAAAATTGACAAAAACAGAAATGAAAAGCATGATTCTCGATCCTTGTTTCAACCATATTCTACTCTATTTATCCTCCCTTTTCGCTATGAAAATCTTTAAGATTCTTAGGCTAATTAAGAGTCTTCTTGATGTTAAATTTATTCCTTCTTTCTATAGTCCTTAAAGATGGATAAATCTATCAGAATTTGTGTTGAAAACTAATTTTGTTGTTGTCACAATTATGTTGTAATATCAACTCTGTTGCAATTTAGACTTTGATTATAACTTGGTTTCTTGCATTATTCGACCATCTTAACCATATTTTTTTTCATTTATGACATGTTAAAGGATTGATTTGTACCTTTATTGGGTCGTAATACCTACTATTTTTATATCAGACTCTTAACCATATTAGGATGCTCAACATTATTGGTTTTCAAATCAAATCAAGGGAGCTATTTCAACTAGCTAAATGGTGTCCAGATTTTGTCCTTCAAAAGGATTTTATTTGACTTTAAGTTCTTCATGAAAACTGTAGTAGTTGTTGTGTAGATGAATTTCTGTTTTTGAATCGCCTGATTTTGATATTAGAAACTAAAGATTTTTTCATTTAAATATTAGTATGAAAACAGAGAATTTTATTGCGAGAAAGATTCTAGCCCGAGATTGCAGATCTAATTCAAGGTCCAAATGAGATCAGATTTTTGCCTATAATATCTTTTTATAAAGCTTAACATATGTACCTTAACTTAGATTAAACCCACATTCTTTTTCTAGAATTTTAACTTGACAAAAAAAAAAATGTCACCAGGAGCTAAGTTCAAAACATAAAATGCAGAATTTCTTATTTTTTAGTGATTAATTTATGAAATGTCTTCTGCATGTCAAACTCATAAAAATAATTTCCAATTAACTCACATAAGATTGAAATATATATATATATATATATATATATATATATATATATTGCTCATCATTTTTTTTTTATAAAAATCAAGTATAAGGTAATATGAGTTTAAATAAATTTCAAGTTAAAAATGTTTTTATTAAAAAAAATATATATTAAAAAATAATATAAATTATATATTGATATCTCATCTAATATGTTAAACGGTTGTTTCATAGCATATTTTTTTTACTAATCTTTTTGTACTATGTTCCTACAACTGATTACAGAAATATCGGCTTAGTAGCAGAAGAGCTTCAGCAGACATTGCAGATCCGCTGGGAAGTGCAGAGAAGTTTCAGGACCCTTGCATATCAAGTTTCAATCATGGTGATTCGTAAAAGACATATCATCCTTTGGAATCCATTCCTGGATGGGCATCAGACGTACCATAGTTGTACCGATAAGATTTATCGATTCTCTGTAATTGAAGTGCCGAAGGCAAGATATCAGAGAATGTTATGGCATAGTTTTGATGTCACCAATCTAGAAAGTGTTTTCATGTACCTTAAAGTAGTATTGGTTGGGTTGTTTGTTGTTGTTTCGTTTATGAGATGTAAAGAACATTTTTCTCATATGTAGAACCTCAAGAATTATATTTCCAAAACCTCTGATAATTTAAAACAAAAAATGGAGAGTTCAAGTGGCCTGTTAATCAGACAAGCTGTTCTCATAGACTACCGAATTATCTACAAAGAAATTGCGGTTTGAACAAAGTAATATTTCCATCCACAACAAGGCAATGCTCCTGGCAGCATTCAGAAATTGCAATGAGTTCACAGATTGCGTCATACCAGTTTACTGCAATTGATAGAAAAGCAAGATCCATATACTATTTTTACCATATGGTGAAGCTTCTTTTCTGAAGCGTTGTCCTGGCTACATTTCAGGACACCAAGAGAGGGTTGATCACAGCTCCGATGAAGAATGTCATTCCCGATTTCTCCTCCCTGATCAAGAATAAGAAAGGATGGTCAGCTACAAAACTTGGAGGATTCAACCGGCGAGATTGTCTAATCAATCTTGGAGCAGTACTAGCTGCTGCTTCCGTGCCTTCTTCATTAACCTCAATACAGGACGCATGAAATACATTTGACAAGAACAGGGACTTAGCAGAATCAACCATCTCCGACAGTTCTCCAACAGCCTTGAAAGGTAGTTCCAGTCCCAATTCCTTCATACTTTTTGAGGCTTCAAACTTGAATGAGAACTTAAATCTTGGAATCCAAAACTCAGGAAGATCCTCTTCTCGTAACTTGAATTGCATAGTATAGAGTTCAGGGCTGGATTTGAATACTTGAATCAGACTGTGCAAGCCATCTGTTACTTCTGGAAGAAAGAAGTACATGGAGAATTGCCTGGTGTCTTGATCATTTTGGTAGGGAATTTGGAGAATCTTATAGCCATCAAAGCATCCATAAAGATGTCTCTGGTATCTTTTGCTGGTCATGAAAGGAACTTGAACAATCTGTCCGCCAAGAAGATGGAAGTCATTATATTTAGTTTTTGATGCATCGAATTTCCGATCCCATGTTCCTTTGAAGTAGAGTGCATTTGCAAGGACTAAAGCTGTATCATCGCCCAAACACTTCGAAGGGAGAAGGTTTTTGATGATTCCTCTGGTTTCAGTCTCCACCCACGAATTAATATCATTCAACACTTGATTAGCCTTCAAAGAAAATGATCTAGTGTCAATTGCCAGTATCAGCGGGAAGAAAAATGTTGCTATCCATGGCCAAAATTTAGAACTTTGTAAAATCACCTCCAGATTTGACAACTCCTGAATTAAACTTGTCAGTGGGATAGATGCAAATTTCAATCAGCTGGCATCTAAGTTGCCAGAAATCCAAACTTGCCATGTCTCACAAGGATATACTATCAAAATGTGGATACTGAAGTTTCAATTCTATCAAAGTGCTATTCTTTATGATCTTCAATGGTTTGACGAAATCAAAGACATACCACAATCAATACTAGAATAGCATAAAGAAGCATGAAAAATATTGCAACATTACCTCATTTACAAAGTCAACCTCTTTGGCTGTAGCACAGTAAACGCCTTTCACCACCTCCTGAAAGGAAGGCTTCAAACGATAACTTAGATCCACCCAAGCACCATTGACAAATGACACAATTGGACTTCCGGTTTGGTCCTCGCTCCAGTTTGATGGCAATAATACAGAAGTGATAGCCTGCGAAGCCAAAGATTTCAGCTCATCGAGGCTTTTCAGTTTTAGAAATGAAAGCAGCTGCTCCAGGGTAGACCCCCTTGAGCCTACAGCAATAAGGCTCAACATACAATGGAACGAAAAAGGCGAGAACACAAAGTTTGATGCGCCGTCAGCTTCTTTCAGAAAAATATGGAATGCCATATCCAAGCAGAAGCTAGTATCAACATTTCCTGATGGGATCTGTACTTGGCCCTCCATTGTTATGTCCAAAGTATCAAGTTAGCAACAATTTCTTTTACATATGTTTAAACATACAATTGGTAGGTACATTGAAACGGAGCTTTCAAAGCGTGTTCATTTAACGACATTGTCGTTAGCATGAGTTGATGCAATTCCTCATGTTTTGCCGTGTCAACAAAGCAGTACATTGTAACGGAGCTTTCAAAGTGTGTTTATTTAACGACGTTGTCGTTAGCACGAGTTGATGCAATTCCTGATGTTTTGCCGTGTCAACAAAGCAGACAAATGCACATATAAGATAATACATAAAAAGCTAGTCGGCAGAAAATAAATAAAAAACTAAGTATAAAACAAGATATAATCTTGGAAGACTGACAAACCAAGCTTAACACAAACAATTAAACTTAAAATAGCATCCATATGAAACAAAATGTAGCAAATATAACCTAGAAGATTGCCAAGCCAAGCTTAAGAGTATGTTTGTTTGTGAGGTGCGCTGGGCTTTCATGCTTTTCCTCTTAAAGGAACATACTCTAAATCTGGATGATCTTAGAGTCTCATAAAATTAGAAATTTCTTTCCTAGATTTCTTTTATTATCTGAATTTAACCACATGTTTTAGCACTGCAGGAACTGCTATAAAACATTCTTCTCTATCAATGAGTATCTAAGAAATTGAGATAAACACATCTTTTAAGCAGTTGGGCATAGAAAGAGAGTTGAAAACATCTATCTAAAACCCTCGCTGCTTAAGCTAGTCAGCTTTAGCAACAGGGCTGTGAAACGAAAGAAGTACATGAAGAATTGCTTGGTGTCTTGACCTTTTTGTTGGGAATTTGGAGAGCTTATAACCGTCAAAGGACCCTTATAGATGTCGTCGTGGAGGGAACTCGAAAAATCTGTATATTGACAAAGTGGAAGTATAGCACTCAGTTTTTGATGTACTGAGTTTTCGATCCCATGCTCCTTTGTAGGAGAATGCATTTGCAAGGACCAAAGCTGTACCATTGCCCTGACACTACTTTGTTTCAATCTCTACCAAGGACTTCATCTAAAACTTGATTATCCTTCAAGAGAAAGCATCGAATGTCAGTTATTGGCTTCTCATGATTATACTTGAAACATGAAAGAAAGATAGATACATGCTGTTGCGATCTTAATTTGTAAGGCCACCTTCACATTTGAACAGAAGAAAGCTACCCTTAACCTCACAGTTGGCTGACTACAAGACATGTGACTGCCGTGATGCCAATGCAGATACCATGGAGAGCCTCTGTTATTTCTGCCTCAAAATGCTTGCCTTTGAATTATTCAATTTTGTTACCCCTGAAAAACACATTTTAATGTTAGAGTTACATCAAAGATGCGAATAGCTAAAAAATAACCTTATTTACGAAGTCAACATCTGAGGGTGTGCCACAGTAAACACCTTCCATCACCTACTGAAAAGAGGGGTTCAAACGGACATTAGTAGATCTCTAGCAAGGCCATGGCTTTCATTTGGTGATAATAATGCTGCAGTAAGAATCTATGAAACCAAAAAATTCAACTTGTGGATCCCTTTAGGAAAGCAGCCTTTCCAAAGGAGACCTTGTTGGGCCTAAAGCTCAGGTTCAATGCACAATGAAAAGGCAAAAGGGAGCGAAGAAAATTTGACACCTTCTAAGAATATAGGGTGCCACATGCATGCAAGCAGCTGGACCTATTCTCAAAATAGCCTGCAAGTGTCTGTCCCATTTCTGTGTGCAAGGAATTTGTTTACTGTTTACCGTTTTGCTAACCTTGGGAAGTGATAAGGTGGCTTGGACCTTTCAAGCATGTTATGATGTAATTCTTCTTCTTTTGGTTGCTAATCGTCACACAAATATATGTAAGAACCGTATAAGAGAAAAGGTAGAAAATAAAGAAACTAGAAGATTGCCAAGCTTAATTTTCACTTCATTAATTGTCACCAGGAATAAAGTTGTGTTGAGGACTTGAGGTTAATGAGACAGATGAAGCCAGCATATGTCGTTACGCCTAGAGGCTATATTGGCAACGAGGAGTGGCGGTCTCAAATTAAACCTGCTGTATAACTGCAGTTGATACGAGTAAATTACAATTATCTTCACAGTACATTATGCATTACTACTAATATCTTGCTAATGATTATATAATTTACTACCAGACACATGACATAAAATCGAATAGTGGGTTATGATAAAAATAAATTCTTCGAAGAAAGCATTTTCAGCGAAAAATAATTTACTACCAGACACATGACATAAAATCGAATAGTGGGTTATGATAAAAATAAATTCTTCGAAGAGAGCATTTTCAGCGAAAAAGAGGTCCCAGAACCAAAAACATTGTTTTCAGAGGGCAAGGTTACAGAAAAAGTATTAGCTCCATCATTTTTCAGTGACAATAACAACCCTTGCACTTCCTGAACCACGACCACATAAATTTTCCAGGACTGCACAACCAAAATGCTAAAATACCAAATAAAAATTCAATCAGTTTACGAGAAACTGAGGTTGTTGGTTTTCATTCTTTCCATTGAATATATAAATATTGCTCATGATAAAATACTTCTACTACCGAATCAATACAAAACTTGTCTGTAACGACATAAAGTGCAATCAATGGGGAAAAGCATGTGCTTAAGAACATCTATGGAAGTTCCTCTCGACTATAACTTCTGTCCAATAGCTTGCTAGAAGAAGCTCATGACATTCTTTGTGCAGCCTCCTTCGCTAAGACTCTCTCCTTAGCTTTGGTCTTAGCCAGAGACTTGGAACCCATGATGCCACCCCCCCATTTCTTACGGTGCTCATCAAACTTGTCATTGAAGTTAGCCTGCAATTAAAAGGAACAAAACTTAATATGCAAAGAAAACAGAAATCGAGAAATAGGTAACAGATTACACAATATCAAATCAGAGGATAAAGTCACTTCATTCAGTAAACCACACAAGACATCATAAGCATTACTGTTAGACAAACTCAGTTCACTGTGGGATGAGGAAATCAAGTATCAATTGCCTCAGCCTGATAACAAAATGCTATCTTCTAGGAGGATTACCGATAAAAAAGCACTTTTTTTCTTTGAGAGGGTTGTGATTTGAAAAGAACATTTCAGAGATAACCTCTGGATAAAGAGCAAGGACACAATAATAATATGATATGTCATCGTACTGTAGTCATTGCTCATTAAAAATATTACCTTGACTGCCTCCAAAACCTTGCTAAACTCCAATTTATCCTCATTCTTTACTGATGTAAGGCACAAAACTGATGCTGTTTTCTTGTGGACAATCTATTTTAAAAACATAGAAGATTCAAATAAATATATAGATACCATAGGGTTCATTTTCCAAAAAAAGCAATGGATCTTTTAATGCACAGGACAAGATTAGGAAAAACTACCGCTCCAAGACGTGATTTGCCCTTCACAATTGCATAAGGAACCTCCATTTTCCGGCACAAAGCTGGCAACCAGACAACAAGCTCAATTGGATCCACGTCATGAGCTATAACAACCAACTGGGCCTTGTTCTACATGCATCAAGTATAGTATTAGGAAAAATATAAGATAACCTTAGACAATAACGCATCAAATCTGTCATTCATGTTGTCAACATCAAAGTCAGATGACAACATGAAATCTACAAAAAAGAAGAGTTGAAAGGAAGGTGTTCAAAAAAAAGAAAAATAGAGGGATAAAAAAAGATGTGCAGCTTCCAGCCAAGTAACTAAAAGAAATGAGACGAATACGAGTGGGAGAAGAAAATGTGAAAACAATCAAATTGAAAGACATCTTCTCCTACACAGTCATAACTCAGATCTGGCCTGAAGTCTGATCTAATGAAGGGGAAGGTCACTAAAAAGACATGGTTTTGAAATCTTTCTTACAAATTAGGAGTTGACTCGACCAATGGACTGGGACTCCTCACATGGTTTAATTGTAAACCTGGCCTACTGAAGCCTCAACCCTCGAGTACTAGTGGATCAACTCACTAGGCAGGGCCAGTTTTGATAATTATGGTCATAGCTCATTTATGAGTGAACTCTTCTTATAGCTACCTAAACAAAGTAACAAATCACCCAAGCTAATATTGCTAATCAACTCACTAGGCAGGGCCAGTTTTGATAATTATGGTCATAGCTCATTTATGAGTGAACTCTTCTTATATAGATCAATCAAGCTACCTAAACAAAGTAACAAATCATCCAAACTAATATTGCTACCTAATTATTTAACGAAGTATGCCACAGAAACCAACATTCATACCTGCTCAATGAGGTAAGTTACATGGTTAAGACCATATTTAACGACAATAGGCTTCTTTGATTCCACAGTCTTTCCCTCTTCAGCAGCTTGTGCTCTTTTAAGAAGCCTTTCCTTCTTCGCAACCTTGTCCTCAGGTCTATATTTTAGCAACAACTTAAAAAGTTGCGTGGCTGTAATACAAAATGAAGAAAATAAAACCACAAATTCACAGGAGACAAATCATCTACAGTTTTGCTAATGTGTTTATAAGAACAATGCATGCTAAATTTGATCCTGGACATCCATGATCCTCAGGTACAGAGATTGCAAACTTTTCTAGAACAGGGATGAGAAACTTACCAAGGTTCTTGTCAAGTGTTTTTGTGAACTGGTTAACAGCAGGAGGAACTTTCAAACGCTGTTTCAGAATCCTTCTTTGCCTCTGAATACGAACAACATGTGGCCACTTGACAAATCTAGTCAAATCCTTCTTGGGTGGAAGGGCACCACCAATTCCAAACTGCTTTGGTCGCTTCTCAAACAGAGGATTTACAACCTTTTCCTGTAATTAATCAACATAAATGCACAACAACTTTAGTTGCATGAGGAGAGCACACAAAGCCCAATTTTGACATGGGGCATTGGAGAGAATTACAATCCATCACATGCAAGTTCTAAGAACTGGGCATAATCTATAAACATTTGCATTTTCAACTCCCCAGAAATGATTGTTTCACTAACAAATGCTTATTTGTGCGTTTGTGTGCATACAATAGAGAGAGAGAGAGAGGAAGGCATACAGGTTTTTTCTTTGCTGCTAGTGGGGCCTTCACGCCTCTTTTGGGAGCCTGCATAAATTACATAAACAAGCTGATGTTTAAAAATTGAAAAATAAACTTTTCAATGAAAATTCAATGGACAAAACATTTCAAAATAGAAGTGACAATAGCAGCAATAATTCAAACAAAGATATACAAATGCAGCTAAATAACGAAAATAGTGAGCGTGTGCTTCCACCTAAATTTCTAACCAGTACACTGCATTTTCTCAGTCCATCTTGAAACTTCTACTCCCCCACTTTTAATATAGCTTTAAGCATATACTCATTGATTTTCCGGGGAAACTATCAATTGCTGGATTGTCATAAAAAAAACATAGGTCATCATTCCCCAATTTCTAAGCGATATCATTTTCGCCATAAAGAATCCAACAACTAAAGTCATATAGAAACTTCAATTCAATAGACAAACAAAAGCACTAAAGTTCCATCACTTCAGCAAACCTATCTTGGGTTACTTAAATAACAATCCCAAATGGATAGGCTACCTGATAGAGTCTCCATTCACTTCTCCATTCACTCAGAAATCAACAAACCCATCATAAACAAAGTAACTTCATACCAAACAAATGAAACTAGACAGAACAAAAAACATTGCATGGATGAAAATATGAAATGGGGATGCATGAACTTAAGTGAAAGTCGTACCATGTGGGAGAGGAGATCGAAAGAAACGCTGATAGGTGTGTTTGTGAGGGAAGCGTGAGAGCTTAGAAGCGCAGCTGAAGCGGCTGATTTTATAATTAGGGTTTTATTTTATAATTCATTTTGTTATGTGGACCGTAAGCCCGCAGGAGAGTCTCCATTCACTCAGAAATCAACAAACCCATCATAAACAAAGTAACTTCATACCAAACAAATGAAACTAGACAGAACAAAAAACATTGCATGGATGAAAATATGAAATGGGGATGCATGAACTTAAGTGAAAGTCGTACCATGTGGGAGAGGAGATTGAAAGAAACGCTGATAGGTGTGTTTGTGACGGAAGCGTGAGAGCTTAGAAGCGCAGCTGAAGCGGCTGATTTTATAATTAGGGTTTTATTTTATAATTCATTTTGTTATGTGGACCGTAAGCCCGCAGGCCTCCCAAACCCTAAAATATTTTTGTTATCAATTTGGGCATCTTTGTTGTTTACTCGTCAAAGTTTAGTCCTAGTTTCTACTTGTTTCATTTATTATGCCCAAACTCTTCTTAATTTATTTATTATATGTAGCGGAAAAATATTGTTTATATATAATTCATTTTATACTAATAAAATTATTTTTTTAAGAAACTAAATATTATTAAAAAAAATATTGAAAAAGGAAAAATCGGAAGTAAAGAATCTCTTACAGAATTATATATAGAATAGTGGAAATATAGATAATTTTATAATAAAAAAATATTTTTATTTAATTTACAAAATTTCTATGTGCTCAACTACTACCATGAATCATTAAGATTTTAAATTGATTAAATTTAATTGAGCAGTAACTGAATTATTTATCGAAAAATTAGTTCATAGCTCATATGTTATGTGCAAAACAATTTTGTGAAGTGATCGTTACAACTATGCAAGTGTTGTAATATTGCGCTTGCCTTTAGATTTATCCAGAATAATATTATGTTGTTTTGAAAGTGAATTATTTATTAAAAAAAATAAATAAATATATATTTGAAAAGAATCCTGAAGTGGTAGTGCTGAAATTATTTTTCTTTGAAAGGTCTACATTTGAAAAAAAAAATATATATATATATATATATCGGTTCTTAATTTTATAATTATTGTATTTTGATCAAATTTTATTTAACAATGAAAAATAGAAATGTAGCGAAACATGGTATTATTTGAATTTCGGGAAACTTCTACCGACAATTTTAGTGGGTGTTTTGCTCGGTGGGGTACAACTATGAATTCCTTAATTTTTTTTAAAAAATACTATTTAAAATTAATTATTTTTTATTTTTAAATAGTTTTAATTATAGTTATTAAAATGAAACTGACTTGATTCCTAGTAAGATAAGATGAAAATGAGTAAAAATTTGACAAAACATAGTTTATTTATGACTAGGTTGGTAAAATCAAGTTGAGATTTTTTTTAAAAAAATATTTTTTTTCTGATTAAAAATTAATTTTTTTATATTTTTAGTTGATTATTAATTTTTTTTAAGCATATTCCATAAATATTTTATAGGAATATTTTAATTTTTTAATATGAAATTTTAAATCTCTTAATATATATAATCTATATTTATAAGAAATAAATTATATTTTTTTTAATATGAAATAAAAAATCTATTTCATTTAAATATTTTAATTTAAAACAATAACATGCTAATATAATTTTTTTAATAAATAATATTTTAAATTTTATTGTCTATAAAATTAATAATTTATATTTACATTAATTATTTTTATATAAAATATTAAAACTTTAAATATATTTTTATTTTTTAGGATTGATTTAGATGAATTTATATATATTCCCGAACCCATTCTTAATTAAGTTTGATAGCTATAATTTTAACATGTCAATATTAAAATTATTTTAATATATTTTTAAATAAAAAATATTTTAAAAAATAATTCCTAACCAACCACCCTTACCTAAACTGTTACCGAACCGTTACAAAGTGGCGAAAGTTTCACAACAAGTAGTCTTTGTTCCAACTTTATTGGGTTTATAGGCCTTTCATGTTTCATTGGCCACAAGTCAAGAAAAAGCTATATTTCATTAACCTCTGTGATATTTATTTATTTTTAATAATTTTAATTTAATTCAATAAATTAACTCTCATGTTAATAAATTAGCTCCTATATTAAATAAAAACAAAGTTCTATTTTTAGGAGTTTAATAAGGCTCTTATTATATAAATACAAGTTTTCAGTCCTTAAGCTCACATATTAAAATATAACTTTTTACTTACATAAATATATCATTAAATCATAAGTGTGTAAAAGTTTAGAAGTACAGAAACCCTTTAAAAAAATAAATGAGTGTTTTTTTATCAATAACAGAGATATATTTTGATTTATTTATTTTTTTCACATAAAATAATGCAAATTATTTTAAAAACATTAAGTCTAATAGTCAGCATAAAAACTTGTAAAAATAATACGTTTTCCTTGATATTCATGTTGTTATATCTATCTAGAAATTTCTTTACTAAAAATAATAATTAATCTATTTAATTATATTTATTATGAAATTTTTAGTGATTAATTAATTTTTTTATTCTACCATATTTTATATTTTATTTTCCTTTTGTAGAAACAACTTTGGTTTCTAAATTGAAATTGAATTAATAATTAACTTGCCTTTATTTATGGTTTGAAAGTTTGGTTTATGATGGAATAAGTTTCAATAATTACCATGAATATAATACCCGGTAGCAAAGAAAATAATTGCCATCAACATGCATTAGGAATAAATTGAAAATAATTTATGCCAAAAATAAATATTTTGGGATTTTTATTTTATATGTTGTTCTAATACTGATTATAAATCATTAAAAAAAATAATTTTTAATCATGCAGGGCTATTCATTTGTGTTTTGAGGCTGTGTAATTTTAATTCATATGACTGTCACTTTAATTTTTGCGTGGTTCATTTACATAGTTTTTTTTTTTGTTTTTTTTTTAGCCTTATTTTATGAACAATATTTTTTTAAAAGCATATTATTTTATATTATATAAAATCATGCCTTAACTTAATGTCTAGTGACCTAAGTAATTTTAAATGATCAGGATTAGCCGCAACATATTTAATTAAATAAAATTATATATTATGCTATGTTAAGTTCACATAAATAATTATAGACATTAATTTAAATTAATTATACAAAATATAATAAATATTATCGCACAAGAAATTTTATATATTTATATAATTGATTAAAATAAAATATCAAATTATTTTTATAATATACGGACATGAAATGTAAAATAATTACATAATAATAGTTTTGTTGCAAGTTTAAGGATAAAATATTAAATTATTTTCATAATATATACCCACAAAATTATGAATTAAGCACATAATTTGAGAATTCTATGACACTATATAATTGAAACTGTTTGAATTAAAGATCTAGCCCACATATAATTTTTATTAGATTTAATTTTGGCATGAATTACGTTGGTAAAGCATAAAATTTTATTTATTTCTCTATTTTGAATAAGCACATTTATACAACCTCCTAATATTAGCTAAAGGTGATAGCTATAAAGCACGGAAGGAAAGAATTCTCCTTCATCTAGGGTTGTAGAATTCATTTCCAGAGCTGCACAAACAAAACGCTAAAATTCAAATAAACAATCAATCAGTTCATGTTTAAGAGACGTTGAGGCTGTGGGATTTCAGTCTTTCCGTTGAAAATCTAAATATTAACCTGGCAGTAAAAGCATAAAGTGCTATCAATGGGAAAAGACAAAAGCTTAAAAACATCTATGGAAGTTCCTTTCGACTGAACTTCTGTCCATCAGCTTGCTAGAAGAAGCTCATGACATTCTTTGAGCAGCCTCCTTGGCTAAGACTCTCTCCTTAGCTTTGGTCTTAGCCAGAGATTTGGAAACCATGATGCCACCCCCCCATTTCTTACGGTGCTCATCAAACTTGTCATTGAAGTTAGCCTGCAGTTTAAGGGAACAAAACTTAAATATGCAAAGAAAACAGAAATCGAGAAATAGATAACAGATTACACAATATCGAATCAGAGGAAAAAGCCACTCCATTCAGTAAACCACACAAACATCATAAGCATTACTGTTTTTGCTCATTATAGATGTTACATTGCCTGCATCCAAAACCTTGCTAAACTCCAGTTTATCCTTGTTCTTCACTGATGTAAGGCACAAAACTGATGTTTTCTTGTGGACAATCTGTTTTTAAAACATAGAATAGTGAAAAATATACATGGATACCATTTTTCCCAAAAAAGAAAAACTAATAAATGGATCTTTTAACACATTGGAAGAGATTAGAAAAAATCACCGCTCCAAGGCGTGACTTGCTCTTCACAATTGCACAAGGAACTTCCATTTTCCGGCACAATGCTGGCAACCAGACAACAAGCTCAAGTGGATCTACATCATGTGCGATAACCACCAGCTAGGCCTTGTTCTACATGCAACAAGTAGAGTCTTAGGAAAATTATAAGGTAACCTTATAAATGAATGCGTCAAACCTGCAATGCATCGTGTCACAATCCATGTTAGATGACAACATGAAATGCCCAATATAAAAAGTAGTTGAAAGGATGATGTTCCAAAAAAAAACAATAGAAGAATAAAATTATGAGTTGACTCAACCAATGGACCGGGACACCTCATTTGGTTTAATTGCAAACCTGGCCCAGGTGAAGCATCAACCCTCAGGTACTAGAGGGTCAACTCGTTAGGCAGAGCCAATTTTGAAAATTATGGTTATAGCTCATTTATGAGTGAACTCTTCCTCTTTAGATCAATCAAGCTACCTGAACAAAGTACGGGATCATCCAAACTAATATTGCTACCTAATTATTTAACAAAGTATGCCATAGAAACCAACATCCATACCTGTTCAATGAGGTAGGTTACATGGTTAAGACCATATTTAACGACAATAGGCTTCTTTGATTCCACACTCTTCCCCTCTTCAGCAGCTTGTGCTCTTTTAAGAAGCCTTTCCTTCTTAGCAACCTTGTCCTCAGGTCTATATTATTTAATCCTGGACATCCATGATCCTCAGGTACAGAGATTGCAAACTTTTCTAGAACAGGGATGAGAAACTTACCAAGGTTCTTGTCAAGTGTTTTTGTGAACTGGTTAACAGCAGGAGGAACCTTCAAACGCTGTTTCAGAATCCTTCTTTGCCTCTGAATACGAGCAAAATGTGGCCACTTGACAAATCTAGTCAAATCTTCTTGGGTGGAAGGGCACCACCAATTCCAAACTGCTTTGATCGCTTCTCAAACAGAGGATTGACGACCTTTTCCTGTAGTTAATCAACAAAAATGCACTAAAACTTTAGTTGCAAAAGGAAAGCACACAAAGCCCAAAATTGACAGGGAGCAGAGTTATGATCCATCACATGTGAGTCCTAAGAACTGGGCATAATCTATAAACATTTGCATTTTCAACTCCCAAGAATTGATTGTTACACTAACACATGCTTATTTTGTGTGTGTGAGAGTGTGGGCATACAGTAGAGAGAGACAGAGAGGAACACACAGGTTTTTTCTTTGCTGCTAGCGGGGCCTTCACACCTCTTTTGGGAGCCTGTCGTCAATGCAAAAACAAGCTAATAAATGAAAATTGGGAAAAGAAACTTTTTTAAAAAATGAGACACCAACATTACTAATTCAAACAACACATAGAAAAGCAGCAAGACCTAACATTTGTTCTATGTCCAGTCGGTAAATATAACTATTCCACGCGACAACCAGAATCCCAACTTCTCAGAAACTACTTAATGGTCAGGAACTTATGGAAAATGCATCTAAATAACGAAAATAGTGAGCGAGGGTTTCTAGGTTAACTTCTAACTGGACACTGCATTTTCTCATAGTCCATCTTTAACTTCTACTGCCGCACTTTTAATAAAGCTTTAAGAACATGGTCGTTGCTTCTCAGGAGCAACTATCAATTGCAGAATTATCATCCATAAATTGGTCACCATTCACCAAATCATTACCTCTATAAGGAACCCTACATAGAAGGTTACATTAATACTGCAATTTAACATAAAAAACCAAAGCACCAAAGTTCCTTCACTCCAGCAAGTTTTTAAGCTATCTGGGTCACTTAAAATAACAGCCCCAGATGAAGTGGCAATCCGATAGAGTCTCCACTCAATCGAAAATCAATCAAGGCCGAAAAAATATATTAAAACAAGAACTAAAGTACTATTATTGGTAAAGATTTTTGCGTTTTTTTCCAAAAAAATTAAATATTTTTTATTTTTTTATTTTTTTAAATAATTTTAATATACTGATATCAAAAATAAATTTTTTAAAATATTATTTTTAAATAAAAAACTCTTCAAAAAAATTGTTATTAAAATCTATAGAAAATAGAAAATATTTAAAACCACCGAAAAAAAACTAATCAATCCCATGTTATTATTTCAAATTCAAATATAAAAAATAAAGGAGGAGGTTTGCTTATTTTTTATATTCAAGCTTTGTGAGAATTCAATAAATTATTTTAAATGCGTTAAATTAACGTGAGACATATATTTTTAAAAGGATGAAACTGGGAATGATGACATAATTTGACCTCTTCCCTTGTCATGAACATGAAAGGATTGTCAGCGACAAAACTCCTCGCTTGCTGTTGTCTAATTATAGCGACGGTGGTGGCAGCAGCTTCGGTCCCTTTCTCCTTCACTTCAATGCGTGATTTCTGAAATAATTTATAAAGACAAAGGTCCTCACTATCGGGAGAATCCACCATTTTCGTGAGCTCCCCCGGTTTGAATGGCCGATCGAGTCCCATTTCTTTCATGGTTTCTTTGGCCTCAAACTCGAAAGAGAATTTAGGAAGTTCTACTTTACTCAGCTCGAATTCTTGATTAAAGAAGCCAGGTTTAGAATCGAACATTTTGACCAGATTTGTGAAGCCGTCATTCTTTTCTGGAAGAAAGAAATACATGGAAAATTGCCTGCTGCCTAGACAAATTTCGTAGGGCAACTTAAGTATTTCGTGACCGTCAAAGGATCGACAAATATTTTCTTCATATCCAACACCAGTCATGGAGGGAACTTGAACAATTTTCCCATTGAGAAGGTGAAAGTCTCGAAACTGTGTCGTGGACACATCAAGCTTTTGATTCCAATCTTCTTTAAAGTATAGTGCATTGGCAAGGATCAATGCGGTATCCCTTTTTACAGATAGCAATGGTAGGACTTCCTTGATCAGTCCTCTGGTCTATCTTTCAGCCCACAAATCCACTTCATGTCTTGCTTCATCAGGCTTCAGGGACAAACATAACATATGATTGTTGTTAGACCAAGCATTTTTTTTCTCATTTTCTCCATGTATTGTTAACAATCAAAACTCAAGGAAAAAAAAAGCAGCTTGTTTAGAAAGTCAACTTCTTCAGCTTGAGCATTGCAGACCTCTCTTACAATTCCTTCGAAAGACGGATTCAATCTGCCACGTTGATCGAACCAAACACCATTAAAGAACAACAATGCTGAGTGTGATGTTCTGGCACTTTTCTTTCCAGTGTTTTTAAGCAAATGAATTAGTGTTGGCAAAATACCTACGAAGATAAAATACTTTGGAACCTAAAAAATCAATAGCATCTGGCTACTTTACAAATTACCTTCCTCGACAGGCAGAATAAGCCTGGCAATATGCGATGGCAACTGATAATTGAGTTCCTCAATACTTTTTGACCCCAGAAAAGAAAGAAGCTGCTCTAAGGTCTTGCCTGTTGATCCTGCCGCAACAAGGCTCAAAACTATATGGAATGACAAAGGAGAAGACAAAAAATTTGACCCCTTTCAATTTCTTTCAGCAAGACTTCGGTTTGTCATTAGCAGACTAGAGTCTGTGTTGGAAGAGACTAGGGCACTTATCTTACTTGAATTAGATGGAAAAGAAATATTTTAAGCTTTGAGTCAATGAGTAAAGGAAACAATGATTGACTCAATTGGCATCTTTGAACTTTCAACTTCTTACAGTTCATTTTGAGCTTTCCTAGCGAACCACTAGTAGCCGTTACTAGTATGAATTAAAACAGAGAGAGGAGGAGGGGGGATTTGGTTTTATCAGCTTGAAGCTCAGTGTTTTGCTATTTAGAGTTCTCAAGATTAACAAATTAAGCTCATTGACGAATTACCTTATGATAACATGACTGCCTTTTAGCTTGGTTTTATAATTCTTAAAGTCTCTCATTTTTCTTTTCTAGATAACTCTTTACTCTTTCGTCAATGAATGTGGCCGAATTTCGTAAAACGAAAAGAAAACAAAATCAATCTCAAAGGACAGGGCTGGAAAGAATTCTGAAGAACCATGCCTGTGGCTAAAAGACAGACCAAGTCTGTGGCCAGGGAGAGAAATCAGAGTTTATCGAATTGTATAAAACTAGCTTTATTTTTTACTTGGCTTCATAGCCAATAGGCCATTAGAGTTGGCTTTTAAACCATCTCTAGTGTTGTTATGATGAAACATTTTTCTATCGGATCCTGCTAAATTACTCAGGTCATGTAAGGATGCAATTTTTCACCTGAGCACCTGTGGTTAGGTGGTCAAAATAGCTCTAGGCCAATTTTCTCTCGCATGGAGGACTAGATTGCTAAAAAAATGTTAAATAGGAGTGTTCTCTATTCTGTCTTGAAAACAGATATCCCTGCAACTTGTTAAACTGATCCGATGACACAGCCAATATTGGATGAAAAATTGATTAGTGTCATGGCAATAGGTTAAGTATAGTTACGTCAGTGTTCAAGGATTACAACTTACAATATGCAAATGATTTAACCAAAGAAGCTCTTCTGACAAGACATTTCAGATTATGTCATGGAAGTTTACATTGTAAAGAAAGCATGGCAGAGGCAGATGATTGAAAAAGCTTATTATATTATAGTACAATAATTTTTGTGATCATTTATAGACAACAGAAGAGAAATACAATACTTGCTACTAAATAAACAGAACTCCACTAGAAAGAAAAATAATAAAGAACAGGGAAATTTTGGTTTTAAAAGACATAACTATTATTGGATGTTATACAGTGATATAGCTAGATAGTATTCCGTCAAGGATAAGTTTTCTGTGAAGATGAAGAGGCTGGGGGGATTCCTGGGATGAGAGGAGGTAAAGGGGGGAGAGGAGGTAAAGGAGGGAGAAGAGGTAATGGAGGAATAAGCGAGAAGGGAGGTGGTGGTGGAGGAGGACGAGGAGGAGGAGTTAGGCCAGGGATTGGCGGGAATGGAAACAATGGTGATGGAGGAGGCTGGATTGGGTTAGGAGGAAATAGTGGAGGAGGAGGAGAAGGAGTTAGGCCAGGGATTGGTGGGAATGGAAACAATGGTGATGGAGGAGGTTGGATTGGGTTAGGAGGAAATAGTGGAGGAAGCTGAAAAGTGTTCGGCGGAAAAAGTGGCGGTGTTGGAAAGGAAAACTGATTAGGATGGTGCACTGCTTTCTGATCTGGTAATGTTGTGCTTTCAAAAGATTCTGAAGTTTTGGTCTTTTTGGTATTTCCTGGAATAATAGGTGGAAGTAAAGGTAGTCCTGGAAGAGGTGGAAGAGGAGGGAGTTGTGGTAATGGTGGTAATTTTGGAAGTACAGGAAGAGGAGGAAGATAGTTCTGGTTCAAAGGAGGGAGATCAGTTGTTGTTGGGTCTTGAAGTGCAGGTGGGAATGTTGGGTAATCAATAGAAGGTAGAGAGGCTTCTCTGGAACTAAATTCCCTGGAATTTTCAATACTTGGTTTTTGATTGCATAAGATTGGCTGTTTTTCAGGCTTGAAAGTGAAAAAACCAGCTGAAAATATACGTGTTCCTTGCTTTCTTGACTTGAGATGGAGCGATGATGAAGCTGCTGATGATGCCACAGCACAATAAGGCTCACTGCTGCTCAGTAACTTCACTGAACATCTCTTGATTTCCTTTACATGTTTGCTCACTGGGAAAGGCAAATGAACTTTGAATTCCCCATGCTCATCTGTTTTCACTTCTCGAAAACTTGGCCTTGATTCCTCATCTTTGCATTCTACCGCAACAGATGCACCTGCACACAATATCCCACAAAAACGTGTACCTATATCATACTGCAAAACAGAACCCATTGAATGAATGGTAGTCGAAGTTGTCTAAAAGAACCTGAAATGAAGTGACTGTTCCTTGAGAAAGCCTCTTGGAAACATGTGTCACAGAAGACAGTGCCAACAACAACTGCAGATGGAAGTTTCTTTCCATGACTAGCTTCTGCTGAGAGGTTATTAAATGTGCAACTAAGAAGGAATATTATGAAAAACCAAGGCATTTAAGTGTTCTTCGCTCTCAATGACCTCCTGATTCAGAGAAGAATAAGAGCTGGAAGAGTCTACTTTTATCAATTGGCCTCAGCTCGACACTTGTTCTCTATATTACACCATGTCCTTTGTCTCCTTATAGTTGTTTGAGATATAAAGATATTATATGTAATGAAGTCTTATCAACTTTCGATCTTTCATGGCCTTACCCACCAGGCGTCTTAATACCATTCATGCAAAAACCAGTGAACTACAAACCAGCGGTAGTGAATGAGGGCATGTACATATCCTCCATTTAAAATCTCAAAAGGAAGGTAAATTGGCAGGAAGACAAGGAAAGACTCTGGCTCTACCCTTCATTGATTTCTTACTTCATGTAACAAAAGCTCAATAGTATAGGAAAATTATTACAGGTTAAAAATTATTTTATTATAAATTATAATAATAGTTTTACTTTTAATTTTTAATTTTTTCACGTAATATGTTTCTTTAGTTTTTTTTTTATTTATTTTTATGGGTCTAGCTTGGTGGTAACAACTGCATTAAATCTAAAATACTTGAGTCTGGCATTGTCAAACTCATATGCTTGAGCCTGACAACCATGCCACGCCCAAACATTTTGGGTTTGGCATGCTTCTGCCAGACCTATACATTTGTGCCCGACAGCCATATCAAATCCAAGCATCTAGGTCAATTTTTTTTAAGTATAATTGAACTATAAAAACAAATATTTTCTTATCAAGCATAATTTTTTATTCATATGTAATAGAATTTAGCTACAAAATCTTTTTTTTGTGCGACTTAATTTATAAATATGTTATATTCAAAAAAGGAAAGAATAAAATGAAATATTGAGTTATTTCAAGTTTTTTAAAAAATTTTGTGTATATTGTGAATGAAAAAATATATATAATGAAACTAAACAAACATATATAGTGCAATATTATTAAAAAATAAAAATAAAATAATATTGTAATTGATGAAGAATCATAGAGGACCACCCATTAAATAAATATTTTTTTGCATTGAGTTGGATAAAAAAAATAAAAATTCATAAAAAAGGAAAGAGAGGATATAGAATTTTGATTGAATGAATAACAAATTTCTAAATATAAAAAATAGATTATTTCAATAAAAAGATATGATTTAAATTTTTATATCTAAAACATTAAATTAGATTTTTGTAATGATTTGTTATTTATAAATAATTTCTAAACTTTAATTTTCTATTTAAGATAATTTAAATGTTTTTCAATAAACATAAAAAAATAATAAGTCATAACATTTTAATTATTAAATATTTAGACTTGGGTTGACATTAATTCTACATCCAAATCTTTTGATTCAGGTATAATTACCAGATACAAGTCATTTAAATTTGACATAATATTAAATTTAAAACACTTGAAATATTTTCTATACTCATAATGTTTTTCTATATTTAAAAAGTATATATTAATCCAGCTGCATTTTGAGTTTGTTCCTTGGATGGTTTCGAAATACCAATCATAGATGGTTGGGTCCCTGTAGGTTCACGAGACATGCAGAGGAGACACCAATTTCGTGCCCATACAGTACTCTACCTAATACCACCAAATTCGAGGATGTAGATTGAATATTGTTGACTAAATGCCATTCACCTTTCTAGCAAAATGTATGGACGGACATCGTTTTACGGGAGTGGATATTACCAGAGGTTTTTTTTTTTTTTATTCGGTTAGATTTTTATTAATAAAAATAATTAAATTAAAAAATTTTAAAAATCAAAACCAAATTAAAACTACTCAAATCAATTAATTTTAATTTAGTTTTTAAAATAAAAACATATTCAAATTGATTTAACTCGGTTTTTTTGTTTGACTCAATTTTTCAGTTTGTTTATTTTAGCTCTTTTTTTTACTAGTTTAATTTTAGTTTTTTCTTGTTTTTTCACTATGAATTAGGTTTAGTTCAATTTGGTTTGATTTGATTTTTCTAGTTTCAGATTTATAAAACTAAAATCAAACCTAACTAACTATTTTTCAAAATTTTAATCTATTTTTTTTTAAGATTTAAATTTTTTAGTTATTTTTTTAATTAGATTTTTTAGTTTTTTTAACTCACTTCTATTCTTCACATAATTGGCCTCCAGGAGCTAAAATTCAACCATCAAAATATAGAAAAGTCTTCTAGCGTTTCAAACTGTCTCATTTTCTAATAAAAATAATTATGATAAAAGAGAAAAAAAGATGAAGATTAAGTTATATTTGATAGTAGTGTGTAAGGTATGATTGATTATGATCATCTAATTTTATATGGTTTATGGTGAATAAGTTGTAATAACATATTCAAGATTTTGTTTTACATTTAATCTATATTATCTTCAAATTTGAAATATTTGAAAAAAAAATTAGAGATTTTTTTTTAATTTTAGTTTATAATTAATTATTAAAGAAACTAACTAGTTTAAAATGGTAACTTCTCCACCTATACATTTATATATAAAAGAATTTATAATCATCCTTAAAAAATATTCATGGCTAAGAAGATAATATAATTAGACGATCTTTTACTTAGTCATTAAGTTATTTAATCACATATATTTAACAACAAAATAAATAATTAACCAATCATATAACCAATAATTCACGCAATATTACAAAAGATTTATCTAAAGAAATCCACATAAATATTGGAGATCATAATTAAATTACCAATTTATGTATTACAATAAAATATCAAGTACAGTAATAAATACCCCGAACATTATTTTTGAATATTGACTTAAAAAAAATACATAAATAAGATCCATCACAATTACCAAAAAGAAAAATAGATGGTAACAACATTTGTTTAAGAGGTTATATTTGCGTTTACATAGTTTAATATTTATAGATCTCAGGTATTTTTATATTCGAAACGCAAGAAAAAAAAACAATAATTACTGCTTCATGCACATGAATAGTATGCATGCTAAACTGTTCACCGAACAGTGTAGCTAGCTCCATTGTTCCGGTCGAACCAGTTTCGGCTAGACCGGGTCCAGTCCAAAGCTCAGTATGTAATGAACCGGGTCCAATCCAATAAAAATTATTTTTTATTTTTTAATTATATTTTATTTAAAAAACTAGTGTTTAATATTATTCAATAATACTACATAAATTAGATATAGATCGCTTTATGATGTAGAATTTACAAAATCTAATTGCATTTTTAATTTTATTCCTGATTATATTTTATCTGATATTATTGCAGGCTTAAAAACCAAAAGAACTTTAGTCTTTGTAGGATGTATTTTATACATGATGAAATTGTAAGTAGTTTAATGAAATAATGAAAAATATTTTATATAAAATATTGTTTATTTCTTGATATAAGAACAATAATTAAATCTATAATATTTAAATTAAAAATTATAAATATTGATATATACTTTTTAAAATTATTTTACAACTTTAATTTCAAAAGCATTATTAACCAAATACATTAAATTATTTTTTATTCAATCTTAATTTCAACTATAATTTTAATTAAATATATATAAATATTAAATTAATATCAATTAAAAATATTTTTTATAAAATAATATTTTTCAAAATAAAACTATAACAACAACCAATCCAATCCCAAAAACATTTATTCTCCGCCCATTAAACATTTGCTTCTCCATTGAATTTCTTGGCCGGTGCTTTCTGCAATCAATCAATCATGTCCTTAGAAGAATCCTCCTGATCATCATCCACACAGGCAAGTGATCGGGTTCAAGCACATGACCTCCTTATGATCAAATACACGCACTAATTATACTAAAAAATTCAAGAATTATTCTAGTATAGCCGTATTCAAACAACCTAATTAAAAATTAAAACATTTTTCTAATCACATGAACAAATTCATCACCAAGAAATTTGTCGGGGTTGTTCCTGTAGTTTTAGAGACAGTTTATCTCTGTGATCCAACCATATTTTGAATTATTGCAGTCTGTTTTAATCGATTCAATTTGTTTATACTAAAAATAAATTTTAAAAAATAAAAAAAATATTATGTTAATATATTTTTAATCAAAAACTATTAACTGCGCGCTCACGACAATCACAGCATAAAATGCTTGAGCATGTGATCTTGAGAATCGTACTGGTGCTGAAATCCACAAGATACGGATGTCTTGTGAGAGTGAGAGAATTGTTCTTATACAAAAGAGTCATAATAATTCCAAGCTCCAGTCTTTATCTTCACGGATGCATTAAAATCAGCCGCAAGAATGCTAACCTTCCCGGTTCAGTTGTAATTATATCAATTTATCAAGTATTTGAAGAATGTTTAATACTGTGACTGTGTTTATTTTTTAAATATTTTTTTATTAAAATATATATTAATAATTTTTTTTATTTTTAAAAATTATTTTTAATATTAGTATATAAAAACAATTAAAGTAATGCAAAACATAAAAATGCGATGCCCAAACACTCATATGTGTTCTTGGCTTCGTTCATGTTTGTGCCTATTTAGAATTGTATTTTAAAATTTATATTTTTATTTAAAATTATTTTTTGTAATTTTAGATTGTTTTTATTTGTTGTTATGTAAATAAATTTTTTTTTAAAAAAATTAATATAATTTAAAATAAAAAAATATTTTAAAAAATAACGCAATTATATTTTCAAACACCAGCCCCTACAACAATCCGTCAAAGATTGTTCTGCTTGTTTAAGATTAGATTTTGCTTTTCTATTTATTCACAAGTGACTTGAATGTTACTGTTTTCTTGAATTGCCAATAAATTAGACGATTTAATGCCTTCATCACCCTTACTCAATTATTGAAGTCGCTGTTTATGACTTACATCTTACAGTTACTTTACTCATTGTTATTATCATCAAATTAGCTAAAATTAATTTAAAGTTTTTATGTCTCATTATGTAGATTAAAGATGTCTATATATGGCGATTAATTAGAAAAACTAATTATTTCCAAGCAAAAACTATGGCAATGCCTGACGGGCACTCTCCAGTTTCTCAGGGCCGAGTGAAATTGAGCTTATCAAAAAATATTCATGAAAGTAAAGAAGCATGAACATGCAGAATCCATCAATCATTTCTGAGAATCGAATCCAAGTAAGAAGATGAGTGGAGTGAAATGCTTCCTACTCCTTTACTAATCGTGAATTGAGCTCGCTTCATCGATCTTCGTTAATTTCTGATTGTTCTAAGAGTACATGCATAGAACGGAATCCCTGTTTATTCTCGAATTGCATGAAAAATAACGTTATGTTCTGTCATTAATTACACAATTCTCAATTAACCTTCATAGCGAAAGGAAGAGTACTTCCTATGACAGCATCAAAGAAAAAGCTTCGACGATTGTCTCTGACAGCATCAAAGGAATCGTTCCAATGTTTCTTGTTCCAGTCATATTTTTTGCGTAGCGAGAATCTTTTTGACATCAAACTTTGCTGGGTGGCCAGTATAAAGGAATATCGAATAACATGGTGATCTGCAGCCATGCCTTTTAAAACGACTCAAAAGGCAATACTGAATATTTCTAGGTTTATCACTCAATTTATTATCATGGCATCTAATGAAAACGATGATGATTCATGACTGGATTCGTTGAGTTCTGAATTAAGCCCTAACCAACCAGGTCCAGTATTTGTTTGCCTATAGAAAATAGTTTTACCTTGCATTAACTTTTCTCATAGATTAGATTCCCAGGAATAAATGCCCATATTTTCCTTTCCTCCACCGTTCACTGTCACTGTAATTAGGGTGGTAGTATCGATTCCACCGACCAGCGGACAATATGAATAAATGGGTCATATCTAATCTGTTTGAGCAGTAAACTCCTTTCAAGAGCAAAACCATTTATTGTTTCTTGGTGAGATACTTGTATCAGTAACGTGAATTCTTGTTCATGTATTTACTAGCTTCGAAATCTTCTTGACAATCTAATAATTAATAAATGTTATGCTAACTAAATATATCCTGCAGTATTCGTGTAGTTTTGATGGAGAATAATGGAGACTCAAACGAGGACTATGATTCATCACTACCAGCGGAAAAATGGCGCGGAGATGAAAAACTGTTTCAATGGAAGGGCTTCTGGTTCAGACTCCAATACCTTCCAGGAACTCGACAGGTTCTTGACAATTTCAAGCCTCTTCCTAGTGATGTTATCTTAGCTTCTTTCCCAAAAACTGGCACAACTTGGCTCAAAGCCCTCTTGTATTCCATCATCAATCGCTCTTCTAGAGTCTGTTTGAGAACCACTCATCCTCACATGCTTGTACCAACACTAGAAGTTCAATTATATGGAACACATCAAGAATCTTTTAGTACCTTTGCCAGCACTAGGTCACCAGCCAGGATTTTGGCAACTCATCTGCCTCACCAACTCTTGGCCGACACCGTCAAACCATCAGATTGTCGCATGGTTTATGTTACTCGAAACCCCAAGGACACCCTCACATCATTCTGGCAATTTGTGTTGAAGTCCAGGAGTTATGAAGAGCCATGGCCTTTGGAGGTGGCTGTTGAGAAGTTTTGTAGAGGGGTGGTTCCTTTTGGACCTTACTACGATCATGTTCTGGGGTTCTGGAAGGAGAGCTTGGAGAGGCCAGAGAAGGTATTTTTCGTTACTTACGAAGAACTCAAAGATGACACCAGGACTCATGTCAAGAGACTAGCAGATTTCTTGGGGTGTCCCTTTACTGGTGATGGTGACGAAGAGGTCTTGGAAGAGATAGTGATAGGCTGTAGCTTTGAGGAACTGAGCAACTATGAGGTCAACAAGTCCAGCGAGCATTCACAATGGATGAAATTGCCGTTTAGTTCCTTCTTTAGGAAAGGAGATGTCGGGGATCATAGGAATTATCTGAGCAACGAAATGGTGGAACGCATTGACACAATTACTGGCGAGAAATTTCACCAGTCAGGTTTCATATATGGAATTAATTAGCATTCCATCGGAATTTTAGAATTCCGATGAGATGGCAAATAAGCCTTCCGATGAGTTCTTTCTCTAAAGAAGGATCGAGATGTCATTGTTGATTGCTATGGAATTTCTTGTCTTTTCTTGTGGCAAATACTACTTCATGTTATATTATTTATTTTCGCGTAAGAGTCAAAACCACCATCAGTGGAGAAAACCAAGGTTATGTTTATTTTTTAAAAAATTATTTATGAAAAATTAATTTTTAAATATTTTTGTATTTATTTATTATTAAAAAAATTGATTAATGAAAAATACTTTTTAGTCAATGAAAAATATTTTCTTGTCAATAAAAAATACTTTTTAGTTAAAAAAAAATTAGCTTGATTTTCAGAAAAATATTTTTCTATGTTTGTTTTTTGAAAAATAGTTTTTGAAAAATCACTTTCTGAGATTGTATTTGGATACAATTTAATCATATATAAAATTTAATTTTTTTGTTTTTTAATTATTTTTATTTACTTCACATCTAAATTTCACCCTCCATGTCCGATGTCTGAAACAAATTCATTAATTATAGTTATTTTTTAAAGTATTTTTTATTTTAAAATATATTAAAATTATTTTTTTTTATTTTTTTAAAATTATTTTTAACAACAACACATCATTCTAATTTAAAAATATTAAAAATATATTAATTTAAAATAAAAAATAAAAAATAATTTTTTTTTAAAATACAATAATAAATAAATATAAATATTTGGATCTGCTACAGCATCAGCTGAGGTGCTGAGGTCGGAATCAGAAGTTACTTAGCATGGGCAGCCTCGGTGTGAAAAAAGCTCGGCTGATATTATTAACTAAAAAGAATTTGGTCATTGTTGATTGCTATGGAATTTCTTGTATTTTCTTATGGCAAATACTACTTCATATTATATCATTTCTTTTCGTGTAAGAGTTAAAACCATCATGGATCAGTGAGAAAATTAAGGTTATATTTATTTTCTGAAAACTAATTTATAAAAAAATTAATTTTTATATTTTTTTAAATTTATTTATTATTAAAAAAGTTGGTTAATAAAAAATATTTTCTGATTAATAGAAAATGTTTTTTTGTTAATGAAAAATACTTTTCAGTTAAAAAAAAAATTTCGTTTAATTTTCAAGAAAATATTTTTTTATTTGGCTGTGTTTGTTTTCCAGAAAGTGATTTTTAGAAAATCACTTTCCAAACTTTCTTGTATTTGTTGTTAGGGAAGTTGGTCAATGAAAAACACTTTTCAGTTGAAGAAAAATTAGGCTTGGTTTTCAGGAAAGTGTTTTCCTAGAAAATTTGGGTGGAAAACACTTTTTGAAAGTTGTGAAAAACTTAGAAATGTCATTATGTGTTGATTATATCAAATTTAATCCTCAAACTTTTGATTGCTATATATATTTTGTTTTGAATATTTATTTTTCAATTTAATTTCTTAAAATTTAATTTTTATATTAATTTTGATCCTTATTTTTATAATTGTTATTTATTTTTCTTCTGTTATTTTTTTACTAAAATTTTTTTATCTATCAAATCTGGTCCTTATTCTTTTTATTGTTATTTATTTTATTTGAAATACTTTATGAAATGTCAATTATTATTATTATTATTTCTTTATTTTTTTTTAAATTTGATCCTTATTATTTATTTTATTTGAGATAATTTATAAAATTATATTTTTTTTCAATTTCATACTTATTCAACTTTTTAATTTGTAAGATTTATTTCTTATTATTTTAATAAACTTGAAAAAAATTAATTTATTAATAAATTATTTTTCATAACATAACCAAATACTGAAAAAATTAATTTTCAGTTTATTTTTCATAACAGTACTAAACATTAAAAAATAATTAATTTTTTAAAAATTTATTTTTCTCAAAATACACTTTATAAAAAAAATAATTTTACTACTAGCAGACCAATTCCCATTAATGGAAGATGATTTTTTTTTTGTTAATTCTTAATATTAACAGCGTAAAATATGTCATGAAAATCTTCATGGGTAAAACAATAGATAACGTAAGAAAAAACCGACAACCCATAATTATCTCTGAAGATCAAGTCCTACTTTAAACTAGACACATTATCTCGTTCAATCCTGACGCTCTTGTTTCAATATGTACTAGAACAAGTTTGAAGCTAATTTGTGTTTCAACTTGAAGATAAATCGATAATTGTGGCATTAGCAATTAATTAGTTATTTATGAGGTCATGAAGACTTCATAATAGTTTTGCTAAATATCATTATCAAATGAGAGTAATGGGCTCCTGCGGTACAACTATCCAACAGTAGAGAAACTGTGAATTTAATTTGTTGAGGTTGTATTTGGATACAATTTAATTATATATAAAATTTAATTAAAAAAGTTATTTTTTAAAATTATTTTTATTAACTTTACATATTTATTTTTTAAAAATTATTTTTAACATCATTATATTATTATAATATGAAAATATTAAAAATATATTAATTTAAAATAAAAAATAAAAAATAATTTTTTTTTAAAATACAATAATAAATAAATATAAATATTTGGATATGGTGCCGAGGTCGGAATCAAAAGTTACTTAGCATGGGCAGCCTCGGTGTGAAAAAAGCTCGGCTGATATTATTAACATTAACGTTAATATTAAAAACTAAAAAGAATTAAAAAAAATAAAAAGCATAGAGAATTGAGAATTCACTAAGGATATATATATTTATATATTTTTTCTAGGTAAGGCATGAACACCGAGAGGAAAAGAAAAATAAACAGAAAAGAAAGAAAAATGGGTACACCGAGAGGAAAAGAAAAATAAACAGAATGGGCTGTCTTGGCTTCACCGAGACCGTCAAGACTCACCGTTTTATGAGAGAGTTTTAGCCCAGATAACTTCAACAATATCAAAAAAATAATCATCAAGGCTTTGATTAATAATAATATTAAAAAAATAATTTAAATAATAATAAATAAACTTTGATTTAAAAAAAAAACACTCTAGATAATTTAAATAATAATAAATAAACTTTGATTAAAAAAAAAACTCTAAACTTCAATTCCAAACAGTGACTAATCAAAATAAAATCCATTACCGTACTTTTATTAGCTGGAATCCATTCTGAGAAGCTTGTTGATGCTACTTTACAAAAGAAGGTAAATTACTAAAGTGGTCTTTCACATTTTATGCTGCTGTCAAGTTACACCTTTGTTAAATTGTCTGACACCTCTTCGAGTTCATACTTGTTTGTGTTTTATTTTCAATTCATTCGAGCATGTTTAATAGTTGCAATTAAAAAAAAATTCACAATTCTCCCATCCCATCAACCCCACTAAGCCTTGGTGTTTGTGTTTTATTTTCAATTCATTCGAGGATGTTTAATAGTTGTAATTAAAAAAAATAATACCAAACACAATTCTCCCATCCCATCAATCACACTAAGCCTTGTACCATACCAGTTATGGAGAGTGAGAAAATTGATTATTCATCCCTCCCAAAAGAAAAGTTCCGAGGAGATGACTATCTATGCCAATGGAATGGTTTCTGGTTCAGGCAGCCGTTCCTGGAAGCAGCCCACCAAGTCTTGAATCACTACAAGCCCCTCCCCACTGATACAGTCTTAGCTTCTTACCCCAAAACAGGCACAACGTGGCTCAAAGCTTTGCTATATTCCATCATCAATCGCTCTTCAAGGGATTCCATCCTCACCAACCATCCCCATATGCTTGTTCCCACATTAGAGATACAGCTATATGGGCCAAAAACAGGGTCTTTTGATTCTTTTGCTGGCACTGCTAATTCCTCAGCCAGGATTTTGGCTACTCATCTGCCTTACCAGGTCATTTCTGGCACCATCAATTCAACAGATTGTCGGGTTGTTTACATCACAAGAAATCCGAAGGACACCCTGGTATCATCATGGCATTTTTATCCAAATTCAAAGGAGGTTAAAGATCCATGGTCTCTAGAGGATGCAGTGGAGAAGTTCTGCAATGGTGTTGGCAACTGTGGACCTTATTATGATCATGTTTTAGGGTACTGGAAAGAGAGCTTGGAGAGGCCTAACAAAGTCTTCTTTATCACTTATGAAGAACTGAAAAGTGACACCAAGACTCATGTCAAGAGGCTGGCTGAGTTCTTGGGGTGTCCATTTGATGGCGATGGAAAAGAAGAGGATGTCCTGGATGAGATTGTTAGCAGTTGTAGCTTTGAGAAAATGAGTAACTATGAGGCCAATAAGTCTGATGATGGCCATATGGGCTGGCTTAAATTTCCACTCAATTCTTTCTTTAGACAAGGAGGGACGGGAGATCACAAGAATTACTTAACTCCTGAAATGATAAACCGTGTTGACAAAATCACAGCAGAGAAGTTTCATGGGTCTGGTTTTATATATGGCATCTAGCAGCTTCATTGTTGGGATCTTATGGAGCGAGTTTCGAAAGAGGGTTTCTTCAACTTCAGCTCTGTTCGATGCACTTTCCTTAATTATATATTTAGTTAATCATTATATATATAAATCCTTCTATGATTTATAATTCTCTCTTTTTTTTTACTTACCTTTCGAACCCCAACAGTAGCATGGTGGGGAGGGGTCAAGCAAAGTTTCGACTGAGTCCTAATCGAATATACAGCATTTGCATAGATGATCAATGATAAACCCTAGTTTATTTGGGTAAATCCTTGGCAGAAGAGATTGGAAGCGGCATTGCATCCTTCATCATGTAAACATATGGAGGAGGATGAACAGATGCTAGTGAACATGCGAAGAGTTTGGGCGCTCGCAATGGATTGGGTGGATCGTGGGAAATAATTATTTAACAAGAGCTAATCACAATTTCTTTATATAAAGTTTGATAATTTGCATTGATGGAGGGAAAAGAAAACTAGGACGGCTATTATTTCTTAAAGCTTTCAATCTCCTTTTTAAATTTTGTTTTTCTTCTAAAATAATATATCAAGTTTGTTCATCGTTTATTCTTTGATAATATACCGAATAAAACAAGGCAGATGATACAATTAATAGCCCATCAATTTAAATGGAAAAGAATCACGCATAAAAATAAACGAAACACATAGAATTACAGCTGTATACAGAAACAAACATCAATTCTTTCACCTGCAAAACATGGGAGTACATCAAGCAAATCAGCCTGCAAATTCAAAAGCTTCCTTTTACATCAAATAGCAACACTACTACACTTTTTTCAATGGCAGTATTCAAGCAAGACACAAGTGAAAATAAGTAAACGGACCCATAACTCAATAACAACAGATGCCCTATCATACACTAACCAGCCTGTACAAAATTAGTGGGAAAAAGAGAATTCCGCAATCAAAAAGCAGTACAGAAACCCGCTACCGCCTCCCTTTAATGTTGTTCTAAGCCAATGGAGGATCCCTTGACTAGTTTTCAATGATGCTTGACTACCTCTGACTACCCCCATGTACCCCCACCCCACAAAAAAAAAAAAAAGTCCAAGGACATCCCTGAAGATTCTTCACATTGCCAAGTGTATCCCATGCTCCAAACTGGCCCCAATGTGATCTTCCATGTTGACATGCATGTGGTAAAAAATACAACCAAACAAGGAAAAAATGCAAATAGATCTTATTCACAAGAGCTCTTTATCGTAAAATGCAAGAAGTTGCTTGACGTGATTATGCCAAGCAGCAACATTTTGTCCATCAACTGCAACCCAGTCAACAACAGTAGACGCCGGTTGCTCCCACCACTCGTCAAGCTGCAGAACAATGTCAAGGATTTATAGCTAGATTTAGAACAGAATAATTAAACAGCCAAAATTAGAATTATGGAATTCTAGGCGACAAACTTCTGCAATTAAAAGCATGTATTTGACAGATAACCACAATTAACAGAACTGATCAATTCTTTCCATCACTTTTAAAACGAGTATCAAATGAAAAGGGTGAAAAATAGGAATGAATGAGAAGCCGCACAGGAAGGGGCAGGAAAAAACATTACCACAAACTAGACATGAGGATATGAACCGTATTGCAACACAAAACAACAATTGAGTCCAAACATAGAAAGCACTTTCAAGCAAAGTCGGAATTGTTAACGCAGCCTTGTGAGTGATCATTGATGGGCAAGATCCTTCTTTTAGAACAAAATGAAGAATTTCATCCTTGGATTTAAAATACAGATACAAACAACATTTATGTTTGCCTAAGCATTGTGTTAGGCAGTTATTTCTGGATTCCTAACCTCTTCTAAAATTTGCCTCTCGAGGGTCCAGCTGGTTAGCTCTTGGAAAAAAAAAATGTTGCCCCTGTCCATACGCTTTATTTAAGGTTTAAGATGAAATAGAAAAAATACTAGTGCCAGTGAATAGACACACAAACCGGTCCATCTACTTTTCTCTATCTTGACTTTAACATGGTTATATCTGCCTGCTCCTCACTTTTGATTCTTTTATAACAACATAGTACCCTTTGGTGGAAACTTCATCATATAGATATTTTGCAAGTTCTACTCTTCTTTTATGCATCCTTTTTCTATTGAAAAAAAAAATAGAACTTTTGATGAAGAGAGAAGAAAAACATATGCAAAGTTGAGCCATAGCATCCTCAAAAACAGCATAATATATCAATAAAAGGTGCTCTCCTATCACTTGGGATGTTCACTAAAAATATTCTCCTACGAGCTTGGTAGGCAAATTAAACAACATAAAAAAAATTATAACTCCACGCCAAAGTAATTACTGAGATGAATAGTGATTTCAAAATCCCGGAACTCCTTCCTATACAAACATGCCAAATAGCAGTCAGCTCCAGGCATCTCTAAGAAGCCTTTCATAATTCCTCCTCCCACGCCCAAGATGTGAATGAATAGTAAGTCCTTAATATTTGACAACATTCCTTTCCTATATCCACCAAAACCAGCAAGAAAGACCATTCTGCATATCTCACGCAATAAAATAATACAATGAAATGACGTGATTATGGCAGGCATGCAACACCGCAGGCATGCAACACCAGTATCCAAAGATGTTTTATAAGGCCACTGCACCTCCAATATCTTATCTTGTTAAAAAACAGTTAACTAAAAGCTTTTTCTTGGCCTTAGAAGCAACCTTAGCCTTCCACATTTGATTCACCAAAAGAAATGGCCAGGAACAAGTGCTTTTCCTAATGCAATGACACAGGACTCTCCTTTTCTCACTATTTCAACTTTCTGAACAACTGAAAGAAAGAAAGAAAGAAGGGGGTTCCTCCTAGAACCATGTATACAAGAAAACCATGAAAAGACATGAGATATCATCCAAAGAATTAACACTCCATCCACTCCCAAAGCTAATATGAAAGACAATCTAAGTATGCTTAACGGATCCCAACAAGGTCACAGGTCAAGTGTGAGCTAGAAATTCCAGAAATTCACTTCATTAGAGAGTCGTATCTACTAAATACTTCAGCAGTCCCACTAACCCACTACCAAATAAAAGAGCCTAGCAATCTCAACAGCTACAGCGACATTAACACAATACAAAGCAAACATACTTCTGCAGACATTTTCAAATTTTGCTTAAATGACATCAGTACTCTAGTCAAAGTCCCTCCAATTTCAAATCAAGAATCAAGAGATTAAATGGATATTGAAGACATATTCCAACCCAACCCAAAATCTCACTCTCTCTTGAACAACATGCAGGGAATGCAATGAAAAATCAATAAGTTTTCAGCTACAGTTGTTACTCACCAAACCTCTCACGTATTTGCAATCTTCCAAACACTTTTGAGCATTCAAAACTGTAGTCTTAAGCTCAGGTAACCATTTCTCCGAGACAATCTTGTCTTGCTCAGTGGCCAAATTCAAGCATAAATTTGTTGTTCTGCATGACACCAGCAAATGTGAAACATCTCATAATGTTACAAAAAAGAAGTCATGATAGGAAAGGAAAAGGGGTCTGGCTAACAGATGTCCTTAAGGCACCCTTTAAGAGATTATTTACTGGTGAACTAATTGTAATAATTAGATAAATTAGAATTTCAAACTTTTCTTTATCCAATAACGTTACAAATTCAAAAAAGATATCTTATTTCAGATAATTCACAGGTTGGGTAAGGGTAATGGTTATTCCTAAAAATTTCAGAATTTAAATTTGTCCAGTCATCACAACATTTAAAAGTAGCATTAGTTATCATAGTTACACCCCCGTTTGTTTTTGCGTTTCAAAAGCGCTTCTGAAAAAAATTGAAATTATTTTTATTTTTTTCTTTGCTTTAAATTAATATTTTTTTGGTATTTCTAATATTTTGATGCATTGATATCAAAAATAATTTTTAAAAAATATAAAAAAAAAAATTTTAATGCTTTTCTTAGTACAAAATACTCTAAAAAGTAACCACTCCCAAACATACTCTGAAAAGTAACCACTCCCAAACATACTTTAGTCTCTTAAAAAGTGCCTAAAGGACAAATGTTAGTTTTTCCCAAAGAAAGTAAAAGAGAAACCACATGCATGTCCATGTGATCTCAATGATTGTTTGCATATATGTGTGTAAGAAATAGGGATGCAAATGAGCCAAGCCACTCATTAGTCGCTTGAAGTTTGGCTCGCTAAGGGCATGGTTTGAACTTGTTTGTTTAGATATAAGGAGCTTATTCAAGCCTATTTTTAAAGCTCGCTATATAAATGAGCTTAGTTAAGCTTAGCTAATTAAGGCTCATGAGTTGGCTCAATTAAACTTGTGAATTAGACTCTAAGTTTGTTTAAAAGCTTGGAAATAGGCTCATTTATATGCATGTTAAAATTTAAAACGATAAACAACTTGTATAAGATTTCATAATATAATCAAATTTAATAAGTAATCAAAAACATTAATTTTATGAAAAAAAATAATAAAAATATTTATCAATTATATGAGTGTGTTATAGCAGGAGTTGAGAAATGTAGATATATTTTGTTTAAAAATCCATTAAATAAATTATGTTTATAAGATCTTTCAAGATATTGAAATTATATAAAAATTTTATAAGCATGTCAAAGTTTAAGCCTAGCTCATTTATAGGCTCATTAAGCAGATAAATAAGCCTACTTTGAGACAAGCTTGAGCCAAGCAAATTTTAAACGAGCCGAGATTGAGCCATGAACATGACACGAGCTTGAGCCTTGCTAAAATTAGACAAGACGAGTTCAAACACATCAAATCTCAGCTTGGCTCGGCTCATTTGCAGCCCTGGTCAGAGAGAGAGAGAGAGGGACAGAGCACATGTAACACAAGACATATTCATGGCTTAGAGGTTAATTTTATCAAGGATAAAAATCAGTACAAGTTAGTCAGCTGACATAAAATGATAGAAACTAGAAACTAAGGGAAAGGTTTTCGAGGTCCGCGTCTAATAGAGGAGTTCAATGTCAACAACTGCGCAATTTAGAATAAACTGTTGTTGTCATTAAAGAAGAAAAGTGACAGCATAGAAAATCTTTACTCAAAATGCAGACCGTTTGGATAACTACAATATCACTGTAAAACAAACATGCACAAGTTCAGCTGTACCTTTCATATTCTTGTTGAGAACGGTATGCATGGTTCAACAATGCATGACCACTTTCAACTAGATCATGCCGAATATGGACCAGATTGATTGCCTTTGCCAAGTCCTCCAACACACTAGCCTCAGAACCACGAAGTTTTAAACAGAACTCAAGGGACTCTAAAACTGATGCCAAACCAGCATCTGAACCCTCCAAACCTATTAGTCCATTGCAAGTCATTTGATTTGAACGTAAGGAAATAAAACAAATGCTCATACTTGGTATGTCAAGTCAATGAATGCATTTCCGATTTCCTTTTAGTTTACAAAGTTAAACCAAGTTATAGTCTACAAAATTGAAGGCATAAA